GTTTATCCTTGTTTCTAGGAAATTGAAGAAAGTTTACCCTCGTTTCTAGGAGTTGGTAGAAAGTTTATCCTCGTTTCTAGGAGATTGAAGAAAGTTTACCCTCGTTTCAAGGAGTGGTGAAGGTATGACTGCCCTCACTGTTTGAAGTGTTATATTTATCGTCTTATGGAAAATCTTCAGTAGGCGGTCCATACATTCCGCTGGACATCCTGCACAATTCCATATCATGAGCGCGAGTGGCGAGTTCTTCAAAAGTATGGAGTCGGATCCCTTGTAGGATGTATTTCAAGCCCCACTGCATACCTTGAATACACATTTCTATGCCAGAAGCCTCGGACAAACGGTCTTTGCAGTTAAGACTTAGACTTCTCTAGCGGTTAATGTAGTCAATTACTGACTAATCTTTCCACTGGTGGATATTGGTGAGTTCGGTCATGCTGACGGTTCTCTTCGTGTTGTAGAAACGGTTCAAGAAATCATACTCTAGTTGCTCCCAATTGTCGATGGAATCAACCTCTAAGTCGATATACCAGTCGAAGGCGTTACCCTTTAGTGACCGTACAAATTGTTTGACTAGGAGGTCTTCATATGTTCCAGCATTATTGCATGTCTCGAAAAAGTGCGCTATATGTTGCTTTGAGTTGCCTTTGTCATCAAATTGTTGAAACTTTGGTGGTTGATAGCCCGTTGGTATTTTGAGGGCGTTAATCCTTGCAGTGTAAGGCTTGGTGTAAGTGTGCGTCGGCCTTGAGCTCCCTTCAAATTCTCTTTTGATTGCCCCCTTGATGTATTTGTCAAGTTGGGATATATGGATGAAGGAGTTGGATGATCCTTGAAATGGATTTGGTTCCCCCACCTTTTCTTTGCCATGACGTTGCTCCACAGATGTTGCCGCTTTATTTCGGGCCACTGGGAATATGGTTTCTTTTCGATGGTATGACTGGATTCTTCAGGCTTGTCCAGCTTTGTGATAAGTTTTTCGATGAGGGCGTCTTGTTGTTGCATGTGTTGAGACATCCCTTCAACGATTTTGGCCAATGCTGCAAGTTGTTCTTCTATATTTGAAGTATTGATAGTCATCACCAGAACAAAGCTTGATGTGGTTGAATGACTTGAAATTGGCCGATGAGTAGATGGCATGAAAGTGCCTTTAAAGCTTTGATCTTCCTCGTAGAGCAGACTTTGATCCACAATTTTTGGGTCCTCAATATTTGAAGCATTGGTAGTCATCACCGGAGCAGAGCTTGATACGGTTGAATAACTTGCAGTTTGTTGAGGGGTGAACATTGCGGCAGTACTCTTGAAGTTGTCGTCTTCTTCATAGAGTAGACTTTGCTCTGTGATTTTTGGATGAGTGTCTTTAGAGAACGACAATGCTATTTTGGTCATGCGTCTTGTTGTCAGTCCAACATTTGTTGCAGCACTTGAGTTTTTTGATGTGGTGGATGCAGCGACTCCTTTGGCGGCGATGGCGGCTTGAGCAGCAACTTTCAATGTAACATTGGAAGTTTTTATCTTGAAGGAAACCATTGGTTGTTAAAATTTCTTCGGAAGGAGAGATGAAAGGTAAAGAAGTCCCACTGGGCGTGCCAAAAAGCCGTGGACAAAAAATTATGTTTTTTTTTTAACAAACACAAAATTTGAATAAATTATATTTGATTTGGATTTAAATCGGGTCATATTCTCTAAATAGGTCCTTTGATTCTCTTTCCGGGTCGATTTGTTTTCCAACTTGGTTTTCTATGGCTTCTTTGATCCGAAGAGATTTGGTCTTCGGTTTGATTTTGCCGGACTTTGGAGGGCTTTGGTCTCCATGCAAACGATTTGATCGTCGGCTTTGGATTTAATGTCCTCTTTGGACGATCTGAGGCTTGATCTTTGATTTGGCTTTGCCGCCTTTTCGAGGGCTTTGGTCTCCATGTAGGCGATTTGATCATTGACTTTGGATTTATGTCTTCTTTAAACGATCCGAGACTTTGATCTTTGTTTTGTCTTTGCTGCCTTTTTGGAGGGCTTTGGTCTCCATGTTGGCAAATTGATCATCAACTTTGGATTTGGTGTCTTCTTTGGACGATCCGAGGCTTTGATATTTGATTTGGCTTTGTCGCATTTTGGAGAGCTTTGGTCTCCGTGTGGGCGATTCGATCGTCGGCTTTGGACTTGATATCTTCTTTGGACGGTCCGTGGCATTGACTTTGATTTGACTTTGTCGCCATTTGGAGAACTTTGGTCTCCGTGTGGGCGATTCAATCATCGGCTTTGGATTTGATGTCTTCTTTATACGATCCATGGCTTTGATCTTTGCTTTGGCCTTTCCGCTTTTGGAGGGTTTTGGTCTCCATGTGGGCGATTTGATCGTTGGCTTTGGATTTGATGTCTTTTTTGGACGATCCGAGGCCTTGATCTTTGAGGGGTTGATTTGGTGCTCCATAACACTTTTGGCGGCGTGTCCCTTTGATTTTTGGATCGAAGAGGGCCGAGTTGATGCTTTGGTGAAGAACACGATGAATACCTCGAAGCTTTGGGATGAACTTTGGATGCTCTTCCTTGGCTTTGATGGATTCTTCAACGGCTGTTAGAGCTTTGATCATTGAAGAGGTGGATTTTGTGCTCCATAACGCTTTTGGTGGCATGTCGCTTTGACTTTTGGATCGAAGAGGGCCGAGTTGATGCTTTGGTGAAGAATGCGATAAACATCTCGAAGCGTTGGGATGAACTTTGAATGCTCTTCCTTGGATTTGATGGATTTTTCAACGGTTTTTGGAGCTTTGATCCTTGAAGAGGTGGATTTAGTGCTCCATAACGCTTTTGGCGGAGTGTCCATTTGATTTTTGGATCGAAGAGGGCCTGGTTAATGCTTTTGACGAAGAATGCGATGAATACCTCGAAGCTTTGAGATGAACTTTGGATGCTCTTCCTTGGCTTTGATGTATTCTTCAACGGCTTTTGGAACTTTGATCCTTGAAGAGGTAGATTTGATGCTCCATAATTCTTTTGGCGGCGTATTCGTTTGACTTTTGGATCAAATAGGGCTTAGTTAATGCTTTATTGAAGAACGCGATGAACATTTTGAGACTTTGGGAGACATTTTGGGGACCTTCCCTTGGCTTTGACGAATTCCTCAACGACTTTGAGAGCTTTGATAATTTCTCCAGCTTGGGCATATGACGAAAAACGTTAACTCCGTCGATTCGTCAACCAATATTGGATCATTTGTCCAAATTAGTGACTTTCGACGAAGAAGGCTTCGAAGGACTCGAAGAATATGAAGAACATTACAGAGAAAGTCTAGAGACCCACCCCTTTGCTTGAATTATCGATGTAACTTCGGTGTGTCAAATGAACTGATCATAGCTCCTATTTATAGGGGAGGGGTGCCCTTGGCTTTCTTTTCGAATGGTGCTACGTGTTGTATCCTGATTGGTTAACAAAAAATTTTTAATTATCTTTCCTTTTTCATCAGATGTCGTTTTCCATTCTTGAAGGACTTGCTTGTGCACCTTCCTTTCTCATCAAGATCTTTATATCATTGCCCTTTTTCGGAAGATATTAATTTATATACTTTCTTTATTGACAAGATTAATTTATTTTGCTGTTAAATTTATTATGGCTCTATTTATGCACGTAATATTTGTACGATATCTTCCATTTTAAGTAAATTTTTGCATTAATGGTTGATATTTATTGTAAAAAATTAACATATGTGCATAATTAAATACCATATATTTATTTTGTTGCAATTTTATTTTCTTCTAAAATACATGGTATTTAATTTAATTTTTAATGCCTACAATAACTTTATATTTTAATGATTATTATAATAATTATTTTTACCAAATCACTAAATAAACGTTCGATTATAAATCCAATTGTGGAGTAAATGTAACTATTTGAGCTATCAGTCAGGTTTAGCTTGTATTAAATGATCTATTAATTTATTAGGCTTACATGTATTTAATAAGTGCGAGTCTCCTATGTGCAGAAATTCAGTAACTTATTAATTAGATGATGAAACCAATAAATAATAAGAGATATAAATTAGTGTTGTGATCCCAGGTCTCATCGTGGTAGTAACTGTAGAAACCATAGCGATTTTCTCAAGAAAAGTTACGTCGTATACTAAAGAATACAAAACCCTTCGTTAATCCGTAGATCCAAATCCACTTGCGCTAATGGAATAATGTTTAGAATAATGTTAGACTTATTTGCTCTATTTTATTATCTCAATTATTTCAACACGACAGATCCTGGACTTATGGTGCAATTCCTGATAAGTTCCAACAAATAAATCCCTAAACTTTAATATTGATCTTGAGAAATTTATTCTCAATTTATAACTCAATGTCACATGGTATGTTGGTATGGATAATGTTACTATAAAGTTCAGTTTTTTTTTGGTTATTGATGAATTTACATTAAAATGACTCTGTTTACTTGTAAATTTTATTTCTGACTTTACTATTTCAATTTTATTTTTTTTTTCCAAAAATATCAAATTAAACACTCATTTTTCATTTATTTTATTATACTAAAATCTAATTTTACATTCAAAATATTACATTAATACATAGTTATATCACATCAAATAACTATTTCAATTCAAAATTTTACTATTTAAAATCAACACTTAAAATCAAATCGTCTACAGTAAACACACATCTTATTAATATTTTTTATCCGTTGACTTACTAAGAATTGTTTTGGTGAGAATTATTTGTGATTGCAAGAATAACTATTTTAATTCTATCAAAGTTGAATTCTCAACAAAAATTAATAAATTTTATAAATCAATTATATCCTAAAACTATTTAGATAAATTATTAAAAGTAAAAAATAAATTGGTATAAAAAGTAGCAGTATGCTCTAGGCTGCAAAAAGAAATGAGGCTTTATTATTTTTGTATTGGACTTATTTGTATTATTGAATAATCCTTATACCATAGTAATTAATTTCTTTATTTTGATATTTGAAAATATTAAGTATTAGAGAAATCGTTATGAACATGTAAAGTTTGTTTATAAATGTTTCTTGTAAAGCGACAGTGAGCACCACTGCGACATTTCTCTCCGAGCTCCCCTCCGTCCTTCTATGGCGACCATCTTCGACGCCAACGTCAGTATTTCTCTCGACATGGAGAGAACTGGCCAGTGGTATATATGTAGCTTCCTTAAAGCAAACAGATCTCTTCTCTCTCTCCTACGCTTCAATTTGCTGATTCCGTCGTTGCTTTAATTTTCGTGCAGGTTTGCCTCCCAAATTCCCACGGATGTCATCGTCCAAGTCGGAGAATCCAAATTTCCCCTCCATAAGGTATGCACGAATTATTTTCTATTGCAATTTCTGTTTCCTCTAATAGAATTTGGTGATATTTAATTATCGCATCGTTTTCGCGGTGGTAGTTTATGCTGGTGGCGAAGAGTAATTATCTGAGAAAAGTGATTCTCGAGTCCATCAATATATCGAGAATAGATCTCTCAGGGATTCCTGGCGGCGCCGAAGCCTTCCAGAGAGTGTTCGACTTCTGCTACGGTGTAAATTTTGAGGTCACGGTGCACAACGTGGCGCCAATCCGATGCGCCGCCGAGTATCTGGAGATGAGCGATAAGTATTGCGAAAACAATTTAATCGGGAGAACTGAGGATTTTTTGTCGCAAGTTGCGCTGAAGAGCCTTCCTGGAACTCTCGCCGTGCTGAGGTCTTGTGAAGATGTTATTCCCATGGCGGAGGATCTCGGAATCGTCAGGAGATGCGTTGAGGTTGCGAGTGCAAAGGTAGTCAGTTACCTACCAGGTGTTCGATGAAATGCCTGACTGAACTCCGAATCATTTGTTCAACAATTTTTTGAATAACTCGTGCCTGCAATTTCCTCCTTAATTGCTTCATTTATTTAATTTTTGGTGATGACACACAGGCCTGCGTCGAGGCGATTTTCCCGACCCGATCGCCCCCAAACTGGTGGACCGAAGAGCTAACAATCCTCGGCATAAGCTTCTTCGAAAAGATCATTACCGCAATGAAGTTGAGGGGAGCCAAGAGCCTTTCTCTCGCAAGCGCCATCACGGTGTACGCAGAGAGATCATTCAATGGCGACAACTTTGGAATAGTTGCCAAGTCCTCTACCGAATCTGATGTTCGAGCACAACAACAGGATCTTCTCAAGGCGATAGTGGCTTTAATGCCGACTGAAAAAATGGCCTTCCCCGTGAAGTTCTTGTGCCATCTCCTGAGGACTGCGATTTTCTTGAGGGCTGATGGGAGCTGCAAGACCGAGCTCGAAAAAAGGATTTCCTCGATGCTAGACCGTGCGACAGTGGACGATCTTCTCGTGCTATCGTTCACCTACGACGGCGAGAGGATGTTTGATCTCGAGAGCGTGAGGCGGATCATATCCGGATTTGTGGAGAGGGATAAGAGCGTCGCGGTTTTCAACGCTGGCGATTTTAGGGAAGTTTGCTCTGCTGCTATGCAGAGGGTAGCCAAGACCGTGGAAGCATACCTCGCGGAGATCTCGACGCATCGAGAACTCAACATTGCAAAGTTCAATGGGATTGCAAATTTGGTGCCAAAAGAAGCAAGGAAAGGCGACGACAATCTTTACCGCGCAGTCGATATATACCTCAAAGTACGTCCGATCTCAAAAACCCTTCTCATATTAATCGGGTCGGATTCTGATTCGGGTTCCTACATTTTGATCTCAGGCACACCCAAATTTAGACGAAATCGAACGCGAGAAACTATGCAGTGTGATGGACCCCCTGAAGCTATCCTACGAGGCGCGCATCCACGCTTCGCAGAACAAACGTCTGCCGGTGCAGATAGTGCTCCACGCTCTCTACTACGACCAGCTCAAGTCGAGGAGCAAGGTGCCAGATGCTGATGCCACGAGGAATCAAGTGCACGCTGACGTATCTCTTGCGAAGGAGAACGAAGCACTGAGGACCGAAATACTACACATGAAAATGTACATCCAAGACATGCAGAAAACTCCTCGGGACACCTCGTCGTCGTCGTCGTCTAAGAATGGCATCAAGAAAATGAAGTTGTTCTCATTTTCAAAGACTCTTGGGCGACTGAATCCGTTCAAGAACACTTCAAAGGATACGTCGCATATCGATGATGGGAAGGTGGATTTTGCTAAGCCTAAGAAGAGAAGGTTCTCTATCTCTTAGGTTGTGGTTTGTATGATTTGTTCTTCTTCGTGTGCTGAATTGAATTGTGTATAAAGTTTGTAGGTTCAATCGGATTGTTGATGTGTTCCTTCTTATTGAAATTCAAGTTTGTAGGACTTTTTTTTTTTATTTTTCGTAAAGAATTATTAGAAAACGGAAGGGAATATTGTGGCGTGTGTCTAGCGTACGTCAGCCAAATAAAATTAAGATAAACTAGACATGGCATTAAGAGCAATGGATCTCCGCTTCCCTCCCCTTTCCATCCACAAAAGCCTTTCCGTCCGAAAAAGAGAGGCTGAAATCTAGTTTATAGGGTATTAGATTCGATCGGAAGTTTACTCAGTGCGCACTTTCGAATAAGGACATGAGCAGGAGATTTCTACCCAGCTTTGGAGATTTTCGGTCCCTAATAGTTATAGACCCCCATTCTCAGCTAATGGGGGACCGACACCCTGTGACCCGTTTCGTTTTGTTTTTTTATTTTTTATTTTTTAGTTTTTGTTTTTGTTTTTGTATTATTATTTTTAATTAATTCAAAAAAGTTAATACCGTTAAATGAAAAAATTGCAAATCAGTTTTCCTGAATCTTATTTTTTGCTTTCTCTGCATCGCAACGATTCATTTCACATAAAAAATCATCCTCTTCCATCCAGAGAGCTTGTCCTCGTCGGCCAATCCAATCAATATTGTCTTAATCCAGTCCTAGCTATCATGGTTCACTACCATAAAAATAGTTTTTTACTACAGCCAAAAATTCGTAATGAAAAGCCAGTTTTCGTGCAATTTGCGTATTTGCTACGCGTTAGTGACGAATTTTATCCGTAATGTATATTCACGTAACAAATGTTTTTTTCCACGCAACTTTTCGTAACTATTATTGTCGGTCAACGCTCCCTATGACAGGGTTTTTGTTACGATGTTTGTTACGAATTTTCTCTCGTAATTATTAGTTGAGCTTTTCATGCGTGTGGCAGGACTTTTTGTCACGATATTTGTTACGAAAGTTCATCGTGCTACCCAAATCATTACTATGATCGCTTGTCAGAGTATGCTTTCTGTTACGCATTTTTGTTACGTCATTGAACTTGTAATAAAAAAAATATACTTTCTTATGATCAGGAAACTGGCCGTAACAACAAACATCCAAGAGCCACTATTTGTTACGTCATTTCATTTTTTTGTTACGTTATTGTATCCTTTTTTTTACGTCAGTAAACCCTTAAAAAAATTATCCTTACCTATGGTCGTAACAAACATTTAGAAATAACATTTTGTTACGTCGTTTTATCCTTTTGTTACGGAAAAATAGTGTCTCATAAAAAATAGTGGTTTGTGATGCAATTGAAATTATGTGTAACAAATTGACCTGTTGTGATCTTCCTTATACAGAAACATATTCTATATACAACCATGTTATACATATCACGATCGGCTATAATTGTAAACAATAAACACTATAAGGGAATCCCAACATAGGATAGTAACATAACACTACTTATTAGTCGATGTCTATCACCTAACAATAAAATAAAGTATCCCAAGCCTAGCCATATCTCCACTTCGACATTATCTTCCGTAAAATACAAACATTTCAAACATCCAAACTAGTAATAAACAAGTAAAGATATTCATTAATCCATAACCACAATTCTCACCACACAAAAGATAACTCCGAATTTCTATGCATCTAATCCATAGGTAGTTCACATAGCCATAACAACCTACCATCCAAACATTGCTACAACATGCAATCGATAAGGCAAACAGGGGCAAAAAATCAAGGAATCGGTTGAAATGCTTTAGGGGTGGTGCATAAGCTACAATTGCCAACACAAAGAGGTTTAGTTTAAGTAATAAATCTTTTAAGTTTTGGAAGACAATACATGAAAGACATGAAAGTAGATCCGTACATCCTTGTAGTTACACTCAATAGGGTCTTCATCGATAAGCTCGCAAATAGTAGTTGCCCCAGCAATTGTCGGTAAAATAAGGGGTGTCTCTGGGACTGAGGCGGACGTAACGAAGACCTTGACAATGGAAAGTGTGTCACCTACAACATTCACAAGTGCAGTTTTTGAGTATGTAGTTCACCCTATATATCAACATACGATCAAACTGTATGTATAACATGCCATAACACATTTGAAGTGTAAACTTCCCAACTCATATAGCACGAGTATGTACATTCGGACATTTACTACAATACATGTTATTCAACCTATGAATTAAGCACCAAATCACACTACTTTCTAATTTCCAATGTGTTGGCAACTCGAACGCTAAACCAACCATCCACCAATAAAACCTAAGTAAAACAATATATCATGTAAAATATTAAAATAATAATTTTATTAATTAATAAATCCTTATGGTTACCCCCAAATACTGCTCCATGAATGTGTCGTAGTATCATATACCGTGGAGATTAATTATTATTTACGCACTAAATTTGAGCAGACACCTGTAGCTGAGTTAGAGTTTAGAGTGCTGACCACTGATAAATAAAATTATATGTTAGTAATCCTCATTCACATAAAGAGTTGTTGTAAGGAGCTCGGGATTGCATAGATACTCAATAATAAAGCCAACATTCTTCAGTTTTGGGTCTGCAATGTGCACCTAAATAGTGTACTAGCAGCATAGCCATAAACAATGTTATGTGAACGATAAAAAATATAAGATCAGGGAGAAATTGGCATAATACCAACATAGCCACGACCCCTACGTTAACATAGTACATATACATAATATTCTATGCAACATATGTCAAGTTGAATATGCCCAAACTAAATAAAACCATGATCATCTGCACTATGAGACCTGAACTGTCACAACGCAATGATGCAGTATGAACATCATATTGAAGAATTTAAAAGAAAAAACTCAAGGCATAATGCCACAAACCTAGTGCAGGGGGGCAGAACAGAAGTCCCTCAGCAACAACTTTCTTCTCTCCGGTGCGAGATAATATAAGCACTGGAGTGCCAATCTGATTGCAGAAGAGTTGAAAACATAGTTGGCCAAGAAGATTAGCCTAAAGTTTATACTGCATTGGTTACTAGTTAACTTTAGGGTTTGACGGCATCATACCGTCATAGGTGATTCGGACATAGGCTTGATAAGCTCAGAGCCTGTATCAATACGAGCTGTGGCCTATCAAAAATATGTAGATCATAGTGAATTCATTAGCCATCCAAAGCATTGACATTCAATTGCGAAAAGTACGGAAATTATGACTACTTACAGATGGGCTAGTAACTGCTCCGGATTTTTTGTGCATGAATGCATACACATTAGCCTTGATGATTTGAATCACATGTATTGTAATACACCATCAAAATTTGATCACATGATAATTGATAGTTGAAATAAAACTCAAAAAGCATAAAGTTTTCACATAGCTAGCTTGAAGACAAGGAAAATCTTTAGACGACAAACCTAATCAAAAATTAAAGACCTATCCTTATAGCCATTGATTCAAGACCTGTAGAAAAATTAAAATCAAGCCCAAATAGCTGATAATGAGTAGAGACCAAGTCCAAATGCGTAAAGGTGCAATCCATCAGATTTTTCATCCTTCGCGTGCTATAACTTTTGTAAAAAATAAATTTTAATTGAAAATGGATCAGTACATCAATAGCATGAAGACATTTAGTGTTGATAACTTTGACATTGGACTTAAAAATGTGCAAGAAATCTGGATGTTGATAACTTTGATTATAACTCTTCCTCATCATCTACTTAATATTTATGCATATATATATATTCACATTCAAATCCTTTAACATCAATCCATCCATCACCTACCTTATCAAATATAATCTACAAATTACTTTACTAATCACCAACACTATAAATAGTTGACATCTTGTGATGTTTGTCTCCTTAATTGCAGACCTATGGCTTTCTATATTTTGTGGACATCTTTAATTTAAGCTACAACACCCAAAATGTGATATCTATATTAACTACAACAACACTATAAACATACACTAAGTCACAACATGCAGTCTCACTTTTGGGATTGAACAAGAATTATATATATCATTTTTTGTATTATATGATGATGGAGGGCTGAAATTGCATAACAAGGCATAAATAAGATTAAATTCTTATATATCATTGTGATAAATTTATATATTAATATTATAATATATGTAAAGTTTTTAGAGAGTTGGACATTTTCCCAACATAAGTTTCCATTCAGCTTCACAAATCACAAGTGTATGATTTTTAACATATTGTATCTACACGTGTGCATGTATTCTTTTTTCGCATATAACTTTTACTTTCCCCTTGGATAATATAAATTTGATCTATCAGCTGTTCTTTCTAACTAAAAATTCACTCGAAGATAAGATGAGTAATTATAGAATTAAATTACGATAAATATTGAACAAACTAACTCACGGCAAGGAGAAAGACAGACATAAAGACAGATAGAAAAAAAACACACACACACACATATATATTGTTGTGTTTTTATACATAATCTGTCAAGCAACAAAATCATGAAAATAGCATGTGTCCAACAACATTGAAAGCAAAAGGCAATATACTTTCTGAAAATCAAATTCAAGAACACAATAGACAAAAACAGGATCCAAGATCAGGCAAATGATATGAAGGCAGAAATTGAACTTCCCTCTTTCGACCTTCTTCCGGCGATCACACCCAGCAACACGCAGTGACAAGACAGCAGCTCCGGAGACTTCCTCTTCCGGCGATTTCCAAGCAACTCGACAAACGATAGAGAAAACTATTTTGACAGCTCAGTCTATAACCTAATGACTCACACTTAGGAACTAATCCAACCGCCTCCAAATAAAACCCCAAACCAACGGACTTGATCTTAGAACCCTAAACTCTAATCGACCGATTTCCCCAAGAACCTCACGAAGAACACCCAGATGAACAACTTACCGAAGAAATTGAACTAGAGCGATTGCAATTTCGGCAAAGAAGGAAAACCCCCCAAACTTACCGAGAAGGTCTGTGAAGAAGATGAATCAGAGAGAGAAAAAAAACCAGAAATCAAATCGCGCGATACACACTATCTCGAATGAGAAGGGAAAGGGAAGGGGGAGTTATAAGGTGCGGGTCGGGTTGGGTCAAAAACCGGGTCGGGT